CATCAAACAGTTTTTTTGTTTTTTTTTGTGCGGGAATTATAAACACGCAATGCACTGGTTGAAACGAAAACGTACTGCCAAGTTTTGTGAAAATGTAAATAGAACTACATGCATGACTGCAAGACCACTAACAAATCATATAAAAGCTTTATATATATATATAATAATACAACCAGCCGAGCAGGCGAAAGTTCCAAGTACCTTTTATTTTGATTTGTCATTTGTTTAACTAAAAAAAAATCTTTCTTTGAAAAATGTAGAAAGCTAAGCCATTAGCCAAAATTACCATTGATGTAGCATCTAAAAAAATATATTTCTTTGAAAAATGTAGAAAGCTAAGCCATTAGCCAAAATTGCCATTGATGTAGCATCTAAAAAAATCGGTAAATATAGACAGAGAACTTTAGAACAAAACAACATAAAATAACTTTACGAATGAGGCTACATTTGGGCTAACTGAATTTTCAACTTCATTACAGTACAAATACACTCCTATACATTAATCGATTATTTCAGTTGTCGACACACATGAAAAAGAAAAAAAGGAATTTTTTAGATATCACGCTTGGAAATGATAGCGTACATCGCCACCTAGTGAGAAGTATCGATTGTTATAAAAATTGTTAAATAATGTTTAATGATAAAATTATTACCAACTCAAACGTTGACGCTCTTCAACTTATAATGCACAAACATACTAGCATATTCTTAACAGTGGCAAGAACTATCTGAAGGAATAACTTTATTTAATTTACTTAATTTTTCTTAAATGTTCTCACAAACTATTAATGCTACAGCATCAACAAAAATATAATTTTCCTATACTTTGCACAGGTATTATTTTTCGTGTCATATTGAAATGAATTTTTACAATAAAGATTTGACAAAGAAACCACATCAATAGCAATTATCGGAATTTTGTCTTTTTATCGTAAATTTAACATGCGAGTGTTCTCTTTTTACATTTATATATTAAAAATACTCAAACTTTGACGTTTATATAAATTCAAAAATTTCTTAATATATAAAAAGACAGTTATATAGGTTCCTATTTGTAATCGCTGACGGTAATGTTTTCATTTGAAAAAACAGCGCGTGAATTTGTAAAGTTTTGAAACTATACAAAGTAATTTCACCAAAGATAGCAACCAACATGTTTAAAAAACAGTATTAAAACTTAATCAATTACGCTGAACCTTCCGAATCCTTCTGAAAAAATAACTAACTCAAAGACCCTCTTGAACTTAATAATTAGAACGAAAATTTAATTATATTAATTCTGATCTTCACTAGACTTAAAAGCCGTACTCAACTCAACAACATTTGATTACAAGTTTTTAAGAAAATACATCAGACTAGACAAAACAGAAACAATATTAATTAATCAGCCCTCTCCAGAAGGGGGCGAATAGTTTCAAATGATGCATGGTCAATAATTGAATCTCGAGATTGGCATCAAAGGTACAAACAAACAACACTATATATGTTGGTTTTTAGAAACTATCTCATTAGTTACTTTTACCGCTTCCAGTTGATGTTAAAGAAACAGCGCTATATCAAAAACAAATTGTATGCTTTCCCGATTTAGTTTAGACTTTTCTGCTAACTACGTAAGTACTGTTTCTTTGTTGCTAAGCGCAAAGCCACACAATGAGCCATCTTTTTATACTCACCAATTGTATTAAAACCCGATTATTAGCGTTATAAGTCTTCCGACTTACCGCTTGGTTACCAGGGGCTTCTTGAAACTGGAGATTTGTGTAAAAGAAATCTTTAAGATATCGGAGTGTCCCAAGTCGGCTGGAAAGGGCCAATGAATTTATTACATATACACAAGTACAATAAAAACAGACACTGAAATGTGTGTGTTTTATTTAAATAGTGTCGTTTAAGGCTGCAAGTTCGTTACCATAAATTATAATAAAATAATAATAGTTCTTTGTAATTATTTTACAATACTCCAATTTAAAAAAAAAACACTTCACAACAAGGAACAGCGGGATATAATGTAACCTTCCCCCTAATGAAAAATTTAATACATTAAGAGAGGCTTTAGTTTATCAGTTTATTATCTAATAATTTCCCCGAAAAGAGAGGGGGGCGAAGGTCACCTGTTGTAACCAGTAGTGTGTTGTCTGTCACTGAGTAGACACTAAAATGACGTCACATAAGGAACGCTTAACGTTGCAATTTATACTGTCCTGATGTCAGTAAACGTGCACATGCCATGAATCACGGGAAGAATCATGCAGTCTGTAGGCTACAACACAGCATGACATATGAACTTCAAAAGCAAGAAATAAAAATATTTGTTACTCTGAATTTTGGTTTTATTTACTCTAGGAACAGAACACTTTTGGGGACCCTACGGAAATACATCTAGTATACAGAATGCAAGAGCACAATCAAACATATTCAACAAGGCCACAGGGACTGTTCAACACTTATAAACAACAAATACATAAACTTTGATAAAGCTACAGTTATTGATAAGTAGAATGTTATACAACAATGGTAGTTTGGTCAAGTAATAAATCATAATTTATTGTTTCAACTTGACAAACGACATTAGTGACAATAAGTCTAGAAACGTATTTTTAGTCATTCTTACGTGTTCCTTCTTATCGACATTTTGTGTCATTCATCCCACATAACTGCAAAATATTTCAAAAACTGTTCATAACCTCTTTAGTTGTACAACCACCGTTAAAACATTTACGCTGATTCATTGGGGAAATAACCATGATTTTCATAGTTTTTATTTTAAAATACTAACAAAATTTATAAAAATATCAGCACATAGAGATAAGGCCAAAAAACCAAGTGATTTGAACATAAAAGGCCATGACTTGTATAAAACAAAAGATAGCATGGATGGTATTTCGTTACAGTCTGTATCTTAATATAAGAAACCACACACCTCAAATAATTAATTTTAAATTATAATAAGATGAACCAAAATAAGCAAATAAAGCGTACAGCACGGTAGCGAATAAATAATTCAACATCACGACGTGACGGTATCACGTGATCTGGAACTCTCGGAATGACCGGACACGTGCCAGGAACACTATTAATGCTGCTAGGCAACCGACATGAACAATCAACACCACCAATACCTTCTACAATTTTAACGAAATGTGTAGAATAAAATTAAAGTAATACCTACAGACGATATTTACAACATCTGTATAAAAAGGATATTTTATATGACAAACCGAACATTAAAGTAATAACATCACATGACATTTATAAAGTACCTATAAAAAGTTTTACTAATCAACATCATAATAACGAAACATAAGTAGCAGTATTGTAATTGAGAATTAAAACTTCTGCTCAATATTATCTTTTTCTGTTTTGAGGTCAAATCACAATGTCATCTCTGACTGTTCTTAAAACAATTTAATCTTT